CCCGAATTCTGGTGGCACAACCCCGAACAAGGCGCCAACGTAGCGCCGCTCGCTGTCGCGCAGCACCACACTCCAACCCGCAACTCTCAGGGTCGGGTGGTGCTGGCCCAGCCCTGAGCCGTCAGCGAAAGCATGCCCCCCATCCAGGAGGAAGGGCAACTGGAGAGATCCTTGGGCCCATAAAATCCTGCTCGGATCGAAAGGGGTCCTAAGGCCGGACTCGCAAGGCTCAAAAACAAACCTCTCGCGAACCGTTCCTTCCAAACTGGGGGGCTATCCGCAATTCAGGCGACGGACCTGGACGGCTGCGCGGGCATGCAATCGCGTCTGAACTGCTCGAGGACGGGGCATCCGCGGCATCGATGCAACAGTTTCCCGACGCAGCTGGCAAAAAGCAGAGGGGGCTGGCCCCTGGTCGCGAAGCCTCCCTTGCGTTCAGTAGGACCCCGGGACCAGGCCCCCAAGCGAGGTTTGCTCACGGCGGCCCCAGGTGCCCAGCGAATCAGAAGACCTGAGCTCCAGGAGCGGCCTCCAGCACAAATCCAACGCCCCAGCGTCGTCCTGCAGTCTAAGGGGCCCTGACGTCCGAGGCTCGGCGGGTCGCGAACGGGATCTGCGCCGCGACGCAAGCGAGCGAATAAAAAACGAAGGTCCCAATCCACCCCGCGATCATCCATGTTCGCGTGAAATTCCCTTTAATCCAAGAAAGCTGGGCCAGACGCCAGGCGCCTGAGCCTAGCACGCGCTGAAAGAGCGCCGCGGTGCCTCGCGCTCTCATCGCAAAAGGTAGCCCTGAACTGGCTCCTAAACAGGTTTGGGGCATTCCCCCTCTCTCATGCGCCGCAGGCCCACTGTCGGACTGTCGACCGCGCGCGGGCCAGGGGCGGGGGCAACCCGATCGGTCTTGCGCCCCCCGTTGGCTGATCGAGGAACGCTACCAAAATCGCCCAGAACGCCGAGACTCTGGGATCGCGCTCCCGCGCATTAAAGCCCGCTGCAAATCCATGCAAAAACCTCGGGGGCATCTGGAGCAGCAGCCGCGGGTGGAAACCGCCCCAAAGCAAGGCCGTGTCCTTAGCAGTGCACTTGCACGCCGATCGGATGTTGCCTGCTGAAATCAACACCAAGGAACCCGAAATCTGCCATAAGCTTGGGTGTCCCTCGTGGGCCCTCGACCCACGGTTCCAAATCGGGGCCCACTCCTCGAGGTGCTTCTCGGGAGCCGCGTGGGCCCGCCAAAAAGATGCCCCCCTCCTCGACGGGCGCCGGGATGGGCTCAGGGGTGGGCTTGGGGCCCTTGCTGAAACGATGGGCTACGCGGCCCCCCTTCAGCGCCGACGACGGAGCAAAATCCTGCCACGCCTGTCTCGACTTTGCCGCATCACTAGCAAAGCCTGGCGCCGACCTCCTTGGATGTGTCGGCGAGGAGACCTAGGCGCTTGTCTGGATCCTGGAGACTTTGCAGAACGGGGCGGCCCCAGTGGCCCATCAGCGCCTCCGGCTCTGCAGAGGCGAGACAGGGGCTGACCTGATCGAGAGATTCAAAAGCCCCCCCCAAGTCGCCCTCGCCCGAGCTCCCTCCTTCTTGGTCAGCCCCAACAGCTGCGTCAAAAGTGCGCCGCAACTGTAGCGCTGTAGCCATGTGGGCGCGCCTGCCGTCGAGCGTCGCGCGAGCTCTCTGCCCCGCGCCGCTCGGAGTGGCATCGTTTGAAACTGACAGCCCTTTGCTCTGCCCGAATACTTGGCCGCTTCCCCTGGTGGGGTCTTATGCGAGCCTGAAACAATAAAACTCAACAGTTTTAAACCATTCCTGGACCGCCTCCAGAGGCCTCGGGGATAGGTGCCCAGCATCCCAAGACCAAACGCAGCCAGTGAGGTCGGGCCCTGGGGCTCCGACTTCACCCGGGTCGAAAGGCGGGTCGAGCGGGGCGCCGCAGGGCGCAACGCGCTGCCAAATTTTAGCAGGGCCCACTCGGCCTCTGAGCCCCAGGGGTGCCCCTGCATGGGGGCCTCGTGGCGTGTCCAAGAGAGCCTGGACCTTTGTCACGCACGGGAAAGGCACTGCGACGTCATAAAATGATCGAGAACGCTGCCGTTGCAGGTGTCACCCTCAGGCTCCACAGCTTGGAGGCGCAAAAGGCCTGGCCAATCAGACGCCGCCAGCTCGTCCACGGGAATTCCTCGCGCCGACCGCAGCCCCCGAACGGGGGCCCGCGGCGCTGCCGACGGCAGCGCCGACGGCATCCCCCGAAAGGGGGCCCGCGGCACTCGGAGGCCCCACGGCCCTTACGACTGCCACTTCCTCCGCAACACTTCCCTCTGAGCCTTGAAGTCCTGACTGGGGTGCGGCAGCAGGGGTGCCTGACGCGTGCCCCGCACGCACGCGCGCACTTAGACTGTCGACGCACAGAACACCAACGGAGGCCGATGAGTGGGCCCTGCAGCGAATCCGAATGAGCACCTCTGGGTCCATCGTGTGGATGGGCCACTCCTGGACTCAGCGCCGCAGCGGCGGCGGGCCCCCAGGATGCTGGAACCTCCGCGGCGGCGGCGCTCGCGCCGGTCTCTGGAGGAGCCCGTGCCCCTCTCTGTCGAACGTCTGGACGGGCCCCCATCAGGCACCTGAGGCGCGGCGGCGGCGGGCCCCCAGGATGCTGGAGCCTCCGCGGCGGCGGCGTGGCTGCTGGCGCCTAGGGGGGCCTTTGCCCCAGCGCCAGATCCCGCGGCCGCGATCGATCGACTCGTCACCCTCGGGGCTGCAAGCGGCGCCGAAGACGTCCCACAGGTAGGCACTGGGGCCCGACTGGCGCGTGGGCGCCCAGGTCTGTCCTGCGCGCCCACTCCATCAAGTGTCTGGGCCCCCTCAGGCAGTGGCGCCATCAAGTGCCCCTGCCTGTTCCAACTTGCGTTTGTTATCACGGGCGCGGGAGCGCAGTACTGGGCGTGAAGTCAACGATCTCCACCACCTCGGGCTTGGCTGGGGCTGCGGCCGCTGCCGCTGAACCGCCTGCTTCGCCACCGCTTGCCTCCAGAGCAGAGCCATCACCGGCCGTGCGTTTCTTCTTGATAAGCCTTGCGCGCCGCTGCGCACGATCGGCCTTAAGTTTGTCGAACTGGTCCTTGGCCTGAGCCAACAGAAACTTCGCATTCTAATTCCTCCGATTTCTGCATTCGCTGCCGGAACTCATGTTTTATCTCCTTCTGACAAGTCCTATTCCTCATCGCCCACTTCGAACAAATATCCGCAATCGATGGCGAATGTGTCGTCCAAGAGACTGTCCAGCCGCGTGCCCGCCGCTGGAAGAGGATCATGAAAACTTGGACGTTTGGCCTCTTCGGAGAGCTTGAGCTTGAGGCCCACGATCCTGGAGTCAAAATCATCGATCTCCACACTGCGCTCTTGAAGATTCCCCTTTGCCGTGGCGAACTGTTTCCCACTTGTCGACCAAATCCAACTCATTTTTTTCCACGTGTTTGGTCTGACCATCTCTCTCGTCAGCCAATACAGACAGCTGCTTCTCGGGCGGCAGCAGCACAGGGCCAGCAGCCAGGTGATCCACATTGAGCTGGAGGAACTTGCACTGGGAGGAGGAGGGGGGGGGGGGGGGGGGGGGGGGGGGGGGGGAGGGGGGGGGGGGGGGGGGGGGGGGGGGGGGGGGGGGGGGGGGTGGGGGGGGGGGGGGGGGGGGGGGGGGGGACAGGGGAAAGGGGAGGGGGGGGGGAGGAGGGGGGGAGAGGAGGAGGAGGAGAGGAGGAGGAGGAGGAGAGGAGGAGAAGAGGGAGGAGGAGGAGGTGGAGGAGGAGGAAGAGGAGGGGGACGAGAGGGAAGAGGAGGACGAAGAGGAGGAGGAGGATGTTGCGGAAAGAGGGAAGGAAATATATGGAAGAAGGACGAAGGGAGAACGGGAGGAAGGGCGGGCATTTCTCTTTCTGTTGTTTGCTTCCTCGCTCTCTCCTCATCATCGTTATTATCCTCCTCCTCCTCCTCCTCCTCCTCCTCCTCCTCCTCCTCCTCCTCCTCCTTTTGCTCCTGGAGGAGGAAAAGGAGGAGTCCGACTCGGCACGTCCTCCTCCCAGGGTCGCGTGACGGACGGTCGGGGACGGTTCGCAAAACGGACTGTACCGATCGAGGCCAACCTGCGTTTGACCGAACCGTGCCGAAGGGCGCAAACAATATGATCGGCGGCGCCGCATTGCAACCCAAACGCTTGCCAAAACACAAACATATCGATCTTCCTGAACCAGGGGCATCCCGCATCTTCGTCCCCATCTCCCGTTCCGCGGAAAACACTGACCAACGATGGCGGTGCACACCAGGGGGTCGTGTGAAAGATGCCGCCTTTTAACTGTACGAAAACGGAGGACCTTACACGAAGGCAGGGGGCTCTTTAGAAGCCCCCTCGGCTCGCAAGGAAACTTCTTGGAAATCCAGTGGCCCATCCAGGGAACCCTTGCGTCCTAAGCAGCCCCCCGCCTCCCTCGAAAGCCGCCCACCCCTCGCGCCACACTCGTGGAGCGCCGCCGACAAGTGGCCAGCTGGGTCGGACGCAAAATGGAGGGGCGAATTGAAAAGGGAGTACGCGAATCAGCTCGCGAAGCTGCATATACCGGTGCCCGAAGCGCCACAGTGACGCGGAAAGTGCACGGCGCCAAAGCCGAAAAACTGGCAGCACGCAGCAGATGTTGCTAGAGGCCTCCTAGATGGGTCGGAGGATCTCGCGGCATCGCCGATACATCGGCGATGCATCGCCGATGTATCGGCGATGCGTCGATCATGTTCTGGTGGCGTCGGCGATGCACCTGCGACGTCCGCGTCGGGAAATTCGGGTTCCGCATCGAGCCGCATCGCCCGATGCATCGGCGATGCGGCGCGACCTTCCGACCCCATGTGCTGACCCCATCCAAGAAGCCTAGAGTGGCGCATCCCCCCTGCCATCCTACCCGGGCCAGGAAAAGCGGAGGCGGGCGCGGGGAGGCAAAATCGCGGCGGGGGCGGCGTCCGTCTGCGTGAACATGGCCGCCAGCTTCGAGCGCCACACGTCCGGCGACCTCGGCATGGGTGGCGACCTCCGAACCCTACCCCCGCCAACCATCGATTCTCCTGAATCGATGGGAGGCGGGAACAAGGCTCGGGCTTCTCCGCGCGCGAGGTGAATTCCGTACCCTACCCCCGCCGCCCAGCGAGTTCCCTGGAATCGAGCATCCCTGCAAGCAGTGTCTTGCACGCCCCAAATGTATTGCGACCCCAGAAATGTCAGCCAGCGTTGCCCCCAAATAACTAATGGATGATCGTGATGGTTACGATGATGATGACGATGAGGACGATCCTGTTTTCCACACGCGCACACTCCAGTCCACTGTGCTGTACCGTGCTGGACCGTGCGGCCCAGCATCTGCGTCAGGGGCAATAAGAATTAGGCGGGGGCATTCGCATTTCGGCGGTGGACAAACCTCCCTTTAGCAAACCTCCACTTCGTGAAAACGGCCTGGGACTGAAACCGACGGCCCTGGACCCGCAAACAAAAACGGCCGCGACGCCCTCTCGCGAACCGAAAACGGCCAATTCCTTAATCGACGTGTCAGGGTAGGAGGTCTATCCACCTCCGAGAATCAGGGGGGCAACGGACCAATTAGTAGGGTTTGAACTAGAACTTTTATAGGGCAAGCCTATTTGGAGAATCGATTGCACAAAATCTATTGCACCACCCCCTTGACGCTGGGCCCTCTTTTGGGTCAACCCGAATGAAACCGAGGGGACCAGCGGAACACGGGCCCTGAAGCGTCTCGCCGTCTCTGGCCCAGGGGGGGGGCCTCCACAGGCCCCCCCCGGGGCTTCGGGAGCGGCCATGGGGGGGGTTGTCTAAGAGAGGGTTGCAAATCATGACCGGCGGCATGTGCGCGGCCCAGCGGGGGGGCCAGGGACGTAATGAAATAAGAAGAAGCACCATGAAATCTGGGGAGATATCATGGCCCACGCCATGATATCCACCCCCCCTATAGTCATCACCCCCCTCTGTTCCGCCCCCGAGGGCTGTCCAACGTGCTCGGGATGGAGAGCCGGTGCCGAGGGGCTGCCCTGGGGTCCAGGATGAGACGAAGCCAGGGCGAGAGTAGAATCGGGCGAGGGTAACTCTAGAATCCCTGAGAAATCTTCCGACCCCATCTACTCGGGTCCCATCTGGAAAGCCTAGGCTACCCCGTAGACCATGCGGGCCCTGAGGGAAAAGGGTTCTGGACTCAGGGGCCTTGCCTTCCCCCAGTACGAGATCTTCATCCTGAATCGTGTTCTGGCAGTCCTGGGGCCCGTGGAGGGACACGTTTCCCTCAGGACCCGTTTCCTCCATGGCGACCCGTGGGATGATGCGGCACCATCGCTGGGCAACTCTACCTCTCTCTTCTTCCTCTCGGGGATGTACTTACCCGGTCAGTCCAGACACGGGCCTGTCAGGCTTTGCAAGATCCTGTAAGATCCTGCAGAATCCTACAAAATCCTACAGGATTCTGCAGGATACTGCCCCCAAACCCGGATCTGTGCCCCCCTTGATTCTGCAAGGTCCGGCGTTCTGACTGACTCCCGTTTGCATTGCCGCGCCTTCTAAGAAACAGCCTCCTCCTAAGAAGCCCCCCCCCTCCTCCTGACCGCATCCCCCGGATGACAACGCACCGCCCCCTTGTCCCCTTGTACCTCTCTATCCACGGGGTTGACTTCGGTTGGCAAGGTGTATTCTCCTGCCTGGACCCCGAACTTCACCATCCCCAGAGGATGATTTTTCCACCCCGGTCATGGCCACCCCTCTGCGCGTGGCCGACCCCCCACCTCTTGACTCCCGACTCTTCCTCGCTGGCCTCGCCCGCTCCGGCCGCGGGCGCGCGCCCGCCCGGCCACAGAGAGCCCTCCGCCGTGCGCCTCGGGGCAGTGGCGCCGGAGGCCCGGCGGCGGGCACGCACACCACCCTGGCGACGGAGATGGAGGAGGAGGGAGGAGGAGGGAGGAGGAGGGAAGGAGGAGGTGGAGAGGAGGAGGAGGAGGGAGGGGGAGGAGGAGGGAGGGAGGAGAGGTGAAGGAGGAGGAGGAGGGAGGAGGGAGGAGGAGGGGAAGGGAGGAGAGGAGAGGAGGAGGAAGGGAGAGGATGGAGAGGAGGAGGGGGGAGGAGGACCGGGCATCGGCGCCCCTGCGGGCAGAGCCGCAGGGGCCGGCCGCCGAGCTGTCCGCGGGGCTGTGCTGCCCCGGGCGGGGTGGCGGCCACCCCGCGCCGTGCGCCAGCAGCCCGCAGGGCCCCCGTGCGGAGCATCGGCGCCGGGGTGGGGGCGCCGTCCCTCGGGACCGGGGGCAGGCCGCAGCCTGGAGAGGGGACGATGGGGCGTGGCTGAATGGTGGGGCGACGCAGGGGAGAGGGGGGGAGGGAAGGTGCCCTTTCCCGGCAATATAAAAGCCCCATCTCGGGCCCTGAAGTAGAGGACAGAACATCCACCCCGATAGTAACCGCCCCGACACGCGAAACCGTTCAGTAAATGCACCCAGAGAAGGAATCAAACAGGGCAGGGCTGCTTTGTAAACTCCCAGGGCCGTTTTACAAACGCCAATTGTCCAGTCTGGGTGGTTTTTCCTACATTGATGAAGGGCCCCTTGAGGGGCCCTGAATGCGTCCATTTTGTTCAGCCCTCGCTGCCACCCCAGATATCCCCCATTACGCGACGCCCACACATAAGAGGGAATCCGGGCGCCGCACAGGGCGTCGGTGTCCTTGCGGTAGAGCCGCAGGAGGCAGATGCAAGCCTTGCGCTTGATGTACTGCGAGAGCCTCTCGCGTGGGGGGCCGGGGCGTGGGGCTGCCCTTCCGGCCCCTCCTCCTCCTCCTTCTCCCCCTCCTCCTCCTCCTCTTCCTCCTCCTCCTCCTCCTCCTCCTCCTCCTCCTCCTCGTCCTCCTCCTCCGCCTCCTCCTCCTCCTGCGATGCTTTCAATGCAGCGAGAGAGGGAAGGCCAGTGGCCAGACCCTGTCGAGGCAAGAGTCACTGGGGAAAATTGTCCTCCACGCGGTTACCACTCGAGCTCGCTGCAGCGCAGAGACGACGATCGCAGGGGCCAGGACATTCGTATCCGCGGCCTCCACGAGAAACAACCATTCCTGAGCAACACAACGAGTTGGGAATCAACCCGTGATGCCACAGAACTGCACAGAAACTCTTGTTGTTGTGGCCACCGCAGGATGCTGCACGCCCTCTGAAACCATACGGATTGATAGTGCACAATGTGGCCAGAAAAGCCATCCTGGGACGCCTGGAGACCGCAACCAGGAGCAACGTGGCACAGGCGACCTACAACTCTTCGAACCGCGCCCCTCAGATAACGACACGCACCAGGCCGTGCCGCCCCGATCAGCAAGCCGAATAGCGCCACTCCCCCGGCATGACCGCCCACCCTCACGCAACGCCAGGGCGGGGAACCCTGACCGTGGATGGGGTGGGTGAGGATCCCCCAATGGGCCACCCACGCAGGGGACCCTCCTCCCGCCTAGGCGCACGCGGGAACGTGCCGGGCCACCGCAAGGGGAGGCAAACGTGACGACGAGGGTACAATGTTCTCTCGCCCTGGCCCCTACGGGCAAACAGGGGTGACGAACGGGCTGCTACCCGCCTGTTCTTCAGGGACGACCGAGGGCACCCAGTGCACAGGGCACCCAGGCACAGGTGCCCCACCTCCTCCCTTTTCCGCCTCCTCCTCCTCCTCCTCCTTCTCCTCCTCCTCCTGCCTTCTCCTCCTCCTCCTCCTACTCCTCCTCCTCTCCTCCTCCTCCTCCCCTCCTCCTCCTTCCCCTCCCCTCCTCCCGCTCCCCCTCCCCCCTCCCCCCTCCCTCCTCCTCCTCCTCCTCCTCCTCTTCTCCTCCTCTTTCCTCCTCCGCCGCCTCCGCCTCCTCCTCCTCCTCCTCCTCCGCCTCGTCCCCCTCCCCCCTCCTCCTCTCCTCCTCCTCCTCCTCCTACTCCTCCTCCTCCTCCTCCTCTCCTCTCTCCTGCTCATCCTCCTCCTCCTCCTCCTTCCTTCCTCCACTTCCCACTCCTCCTCTCCTCCTCCTCCCCCTCCTCCTCCTCCTTCTCCTCCTCCTCCGATCCCTCCGTCCTCCACGGCCCTCCCTGCTCTACATTCCACGTGCCCCTGCCTTTTCCGGCCTGGCCTCCTCCCTCCGTCCCCGGGAGGAGGCCAGGGAGGCGGCTCCTCGCACATCCCAGTGCACATGTACCTTCTCCCTGTTCGTCCTCCCTCCTCGCTCCTCACCTTCCCCCCTCCTCCTCCATCTCTCCTCCTCTCCGCTCCCCTCCTCCTCCTCCTCCTACCTCCCCTGCTCCTCCTCCTCCTCCTCCCGCCTCCTCCTCGCCTCCTCTCCTCCTCCTACCTCCCTCCTCCTCCTCCTCTCTCCTCTACTCCTCCTTGCTCCTCCGCCCCCTCCTCCTCCTCCTCCCCCTCCTCCTCCTCCTCCTCCTCCTCCTCCTCCTCCTCCTCCTTGCTCCTCCTCATCCTCCTCCTCCACATCCCTTCTCCCTGCTCGTCCTCCCTCCTCGCTCCTCCACCGTCGTGCGTACCGCGTGTCATCCGTTGTCCTGCGTGCCAGTCGCCAGTCGGCACGTCAAACTCTTACTAAAAGTAGACAAAGGGCACGGGAAAAGAGGCCCCATAACGAGCGCTTATACCAAATCGACGCAACCTCCGATGGAGTCGGCACGCCAAACACGTGCAAAACTGAGAAGTGACCTCCGATGGGGTCGGCACGCCAACACACGCGCAAAGCTGTCAAGCATAGTGTGAACGGCGGCCGCAGACGAAGACGTCAAACCACATGCCAACCTGACGAATTCAATGCATGTGTTGCTAGTTTAGGCTGCCTGGACAGCCTTGTGGAGCTCTCACGCGGCACCAGGAGGACTTCCAGTTACAGTGCGTAAGAGGTCACTCCAAGAAGGCATCGCCAGTGGCGAATAAACGGCGGGGTGCGGTGCCGATCAGGACGCTATGTTTGCAGGTCCATGACGGGGGGGCGACATCCCGCCAGGGCACCTCGGACACGGCTCTGCACCACCAAAAGTGACAGCGTTTCCCCATCCGGTATCTCTCCTTCTCCTCATCCTCACTCTTCACCGCTCCCTCCTGCACCGCTCCGTCCCTCGTGAACGATCTCCCCTCAGGTCTCAGATGGATCGCCAGTGGATGCCAGCGTCGGGGGATCCCGCAGGAGGTGCCAACGACGCCGCTGCCACATCCCAAAACGTTCCCAACAAAATGATCACCTCCGCCTTCGCGGCTCAAGACCGGATTGCAGCCGCCGGGGATCGATACGTCGAAGCGATCGGTGCTCATGCGGCTGCGCTGCCCATGCCGCCGAGCCCCACGAGTACGAGGAGTACGTCCGAGTCGCCAGGGACAACACGGGATATGTCGGCCCCTATCCCAGGTTTTTTTCTCTAAATAGGCTTGCCCTATAGGAGTTCGAACTCAAACCATACTAATTGGTCCGTTCCCCTCCTAATTCCTATGCTCCCCACCCAAATTCCCATGGCACACACCCTTATTTCAAATGGCACCCCCCAGCTATTTCCAATGGCGAGTCCTATGGATTCCTATGGATTCCTATGAATCGCATGTATTCCTATGCTTGCTTGCTCGTGCTTGCTTGTTTGCTTGCACTTGCTTGCTTTGATTGCTTTGATTGCTTGCTCTTGCTTGCGTGCTTGCTCTCGCTTGCTTGCTCTTGTTTGCCCTTGCTTGCTGGCACTTGATCGCTGGCTCTTGCTTGCTTGTTATTGCTCGCTTGCGCTCGCTTGCTTGCGCTTGCTTGCTTGCGCTTGCTTGATGTTGCTCCTCCCGTCCTCCTGCTGTCCTGCTCCCGTCCTCCTTTCTTCCTCCTCCCATCCTCCTCTCGTCCTCCAATCTATTTGGAGTCAACGCTGGCTGATCTTCTGTTTGACGCCGTGCATCCCTGCGTCCTGAGGATGGCCCACAGCAGGACCTGATGGCACAAAGCGCCAGCCTCGCCAGACTCCTCCCGCCCCAACGTACCCCGCCCCTGTCCTTCCTGAGTCGTCTGAGGCGGCCCAAGACGGCCCTCCTGCAGCAAATTGAATAACAGTACAGCGCCTAGAGTTAGGTCGGGCGTGTCCTCCTACAGGCGGACTTTGGACGAGAAAAAAAACTAAAAAACTCCCCAAAATATTCAAACCTAATCAAACAAAAAACTTAAGTCAGAAATGCTCAGAGAGAGTCAACAAAAATAATGGAAACATCGTCCCCAGACTATTTCTTACTATGTTTGAATTTTCCTCCTGTAGAGGGACAAGCACGACGTAAGTCTGAAGGTACCTGCCCCCTCAGCAGCATCTCGTGCACTCGAGCGGGAGAGCGAGCCGAGAGGCGAGCAGAGAGGCGTTTCGCCCCCGATTCCTCTGAGTCCACAGCCTCTCGAGCTCGCAAGGCACTCAGCCCACGACCCCGCAGCTGCATCTGATCTTTCAAACTCTTCCTCACCCAAACGGTTTGAAACTAGAAGCTCGCACGGCAACGATGCAGAAGTTGCATGCTAAACTTTCGGCGGTGGACAAACCTCCCCTTAGTGAACCACCGTTTAGTGAAAACGGCCTGGGACCGAAACCGACGGACCTGGACCCGCAAGAGTAACGGCCGTGGCGCCCTCTCGCGAACCGAAAACGGCCAATCCACTAATCGACGTGTCAGGGTAGGAGGTCTTTCCACCTCCGATCTGTAGCAGTGGCTGCGAGGGGACTGGCCAACTTGCCGCCCGTGCAGCGAGAACAACAAGGGCCACAAGACGGAGAGACCCAGCCACCGGCACCGTGCAGCGTGCTGCCCGAGAAGAGGGCTCGCACCGAGGGCGAGGCCTTCTCGCCACAGGCTCGGCCCAGACGGTTACGTGGCGGCGCGGACAGAGGGGGTGGAGGGAGGGGGGAGGGCTTCTTAGAAGAAGGCTGCTTCTTTGAAGGCGCCCGCCTTACATCTATAAGTCAGGCCCGTTTTGTTGTTGGTGGTGTTGTTGGTGGTGGTGTTATCGTTGTCGTCGTCGTCGACGTTGTTGTTGTTGGTGATGTTGATGTTGTTGTTGGTCTGTTGAACTCTCATTACTGAAGGACCATTATTGTTGACCGCCCCCCTCCGGTGCACATTCTATTTTTTCAGTGACGTGCCCCCCGTAGGGAGCTCCGTCGACGGCCCCGGCGGTACCGCCCGCATGCGCCCCGGTGCTAGCGCCCGCATGCGCCCCCATCCAGGCGCTCGCACCCTGTTTTTTTTATCGGGGAAAGTCTTCCTCCTCAGACTGTGCCCCTGGCCCCCGGCTTACAACAACAACGGCTCCCGCTGGACACTTCCTCGAGATTTACTCCGGGTCCCCCGCTCCCGTTTGAGGCTTCCTCGCAGTTTACTCAAGAATCGCGCTCCCGCCTGAGACCTCCTCGCAATTTGCTCAGGCGCCGCGCTCTTGCCATTCAGGAATCGCGCGTTCGCTGGGGACTTCCTCAAATTTACTCAGGAATCGCTCTCTCGCTGGAAACTTCCTGGCTAATCACGCAGAACTTACAAGGAAAAATATACCCACCAAAAGTGGTATGATCGAAAACGAAATGGCGGGTATCGAGGGTTCGGGAAATGCACGCTGAATGACACTCGAGCAGATAAGAGCGAACAGTATTAACATGATTGTCATTGTTGTTGTTGGTGATGTTGTTGTTGCTGTTGTTGCTGCTGTTGTTGTTGTGGTTGTTGTTGTTGGTGTTGTTGTTATGTGTTGTTTGCTGCTTGGTTGTTGTGTGTTGTTTGCTGCTTGCTGCTTGTTGTTTATTGCTTTTTGTTGCTGTCGTCGTCCCCCCCGTGGCCCACCCACGCTGCACCAGCGTCGCATGCTTCGACGCGGATTCGACGGGGATGCGGAATCCGCGTCGAGCCCGCGGCGGACACAGGACAGGACCGCCCCTGCAAGGAAGGCCAGGGCCCCCGAAGAGGCGACGCAGCTCAGAGGCGAGGGTGGACGCCAGGGGGGGTGGCGGCTCCCGGGGGGCGAGGGGCACCTCCTCGAGCTTGAGTCGGACCTCTCGTGCGTGGCCCATGGATCGGCGGCAGGCCCCCGATCACGACACCGTTCGCTCCTGGGCGGGACTGCTGCAGTCGGGGCGTTGACCTAAGGAACCCTAAATAAGGAACGAGGCCCCTTCCTCCCATAAGTGGAACTTGCATTTCCCATGGAAACACCTGGAAAACCGAAGGCAAACTGCAGAACAATCAAGGAACACCGAGCCCCTCCCCAACGAAAAGGGTTCCTTCCTTCAGGGCCCCGACTGTACCCCTGATCCTGGGGGTCGCGCTATGCTGAACGAGGGATGGCGTGTCGGCCCTCCGTCGGTGATGATATGGGCGACTGGGCGTCGACGCGCCACCCCCTGGGACCATCCCCCCCATCGCTGCCCAGGGCACTCACGATTCCGATGACGATGCTGATGCTGAGGATGATGCTGATGCTGCTGATGCTGATGCTGATGCTGATGCTGCTGATGATGATGATGATGGTGGTGATGCTGCTGCTGCTGATGATGATGGTGATGATGATGTTGATGCTGATGATGATGATGGCGATGCTGATGATGCTGATGATGGTGATGATGATGATGATGAGGATGATGGCGATGCTGATGATGCTGATGATGATGAGTGGAGGGGGCGGATGCGGAGGAAGAGGAGGAGGAGGAGGAGGAGGAGGAGGAGGAGGAGCAGGACGGACTTGACGCTCGGGCGGGCTGCGCGCAGGCTGCGAGGCGCCCGCCCCTCCTTGAGCAGGGACCGACCGTCCCGGCATTCCTACAGTCCTACCACGACATGTTCGTAGAATCCAAAAACGTTCTAAGAACATAAACGCTGTTCGTAGAACATAAACCCAATGTGATAAAACAAGACAAACTCCGCCAGAAATGTTCTAAGACCATTTCGTGGAAACCACAAAAGGTTCTTAGACTATTGTTTGGTAGGACTATAGGCGAGCCAGGACGCTTCGCCACTGCTTGACCTCCCCCCGCCCCATGAGATCCCACGGCGCGGCAAACCTCGAGGCCATCGCGGCAAAGCTCGACCGCCAGGAACCGAGGCCCCGACACGTCCCGCCACCCTGCGAGGCGGAGCGAGCTGCGAGGGCCTCGGGGCCCGAGTCTTGGGCGAAAGCGCCCGCTGCGAAGGGATTGCGGCGCCAGGACGTCAGGGCCACTGTGCCTCTGCGCGGGGTTGCACGGTTTCCATCGGGGCCGTAGGCGACCCGACGAGGAGGAGGAGGAGGAGGAGGAAGAGGAGGAGAAGGAGGAGGAGGAGGAGGGGGAGGAGGAGGCGATGAGGGAGGGGGAGGAGGAGGGGGGGAAGGGGAGAGGAGAGGAGGAGAGAGGAGGAGGAGGAGGAAGGAGAAGGAGGAGGAGGAGGAGGAGGGGGAGGAGGAGGGCGGATGAGGGAGGGGGAGGAGGAGGAGGAGGAGGAGGAGGAGGAGGAGGAGGAGAGATGGAGGAGGAGGAGGAGGAGGAGGGGAGAAGGACGAGGAGGAGAGGAGGGGGGAGAGGGAGATGAGGGAGGAGGAGAAGCAGGGGAGGAGGAGGAGGAGGAGGAGGAGGAGGAGGAGGAGGAGGAGGAGGGAGGAGGAGGAGGAGGAGGAGGACGGGTCGCCTGAGCCCTTCGGAGAAACCCTCCGCGCGGGGCAAGAAAGAGTGCCGCCCTCGGGCCTCCCGCCCGCGAGGGGCGCCCCAAGCCGCCCCCCCACGAGGGCGGGCCTGGGGCCCTCACGACAGGCTCAGGCCCCTGGGGACTCGGAGAGGCTCCGAGCCGAGGCGCGGCGTCTCGTACTCGCCGCCCTCGGGCCGGCCGGCCTCGGCCCACGCCGCGCGAAGCGCCGCTCGCGCGCCACTGCCGAGCGGGTTGTTCTGCAACCGGAGCGCCTGCAGGCCGGGCAGGGCCTCAGGGGCCCGGAGGGCCTCCTCCCAGCGCGCCGCGCCCTCGTCCCCAACGCGGTTGCTGGAGAGTCCGAGAAACTGCAGGTTCTGCACTTTGATCGTCGGGTGGGTGTAAGTGCGGTAAGAGCGTTGTATATCCGATGAAATCGTTTCAACGAAGATGTATGTAGGTTCATGCTAGTTGACCTCACATAATCAACATATATAAAATATCGAACTTCGCATTCATCTACTTAACGTTTTTGTTAGATAAGTATATTCAACAACATACCATACATACTACTCACAGAACCATCCATCTTATCAACTGAGCTATCGGGTACCACTGCCAAGATATATCGATACATACACCTCAACATACCCAACTTAGTAGCTAAGTCAGCTAAGTCGATGTGGGCTGTCCGATTCGGTTAACCCGAAATTTGCATAACTTTCTATGTTTTGCATGTTTGTTCTTGATATTGCTATGTTTCGGGAAAAAAAACCACAAAAAACGTTTTAACAACTACAACACAACAGTTTTTCAGGACAGGGCGCCGCAGGTCGACGCGCCGAGCCGCCCTCAGGACGCCTGCGGGGCGCGGAGGGGAAGGGGGGAGAGGGAGAGGGGGGGGGATCAACTATTCTTCAAACTGCCTCCCCTCGGCGGCCATCACCGCCTCCCCTCTCCTCTCCTCGTTGTCGGCGGCCAGCCCGCCCCCGCTCCCTCCTGCCGCCTTCCCTCCCCGAGCCCGCCTTCCTTCTTCGGCGGCATATCCGCCCCTCCCTCCTGCACCTCTCTATCGAAGGGCGGCGCATCCGCCAGCGGCATATCCGCTCTCGCATGCGCTCGTTTTTTCCTTTTTCACGTGATGGCGAGCACATAGCCATCGTCCTGTAGTCGCCGATAAGCCGCCCAGGCTGGCGGGATCAGCTCGGCGGGCATCACGGCGACGTCGCCGCGCGGCCGCCACAGGGACGCGCCTGGGCATGGCGCGCGCACCCATTCCAGGGTCTCCACCAGCAGGTAGCTGGCGGCGCCAGCCTGCGCGCAGCAATGCACGATGTACGCCTCGCCGTCGCCCAGGAGAAAATCCTGAGGGCAGCAACGCCTCGATTTTTGGGGGGGCACACGCATGTGCACCCCTAAATACCAAGGTTGGTTGCGCCGTCTGTCCTGGCTGCCGTACATCTGGCCGTCGATGGACGCCTCTCTGCTGGTCCACGTTTCAGCCCTGCGGAGGGGTCCTCCTCCTCCTCCTCCTCCTCCTCCTCCTCCTCCTCCTCCTCCTGGCGGCGAGCCGCCTCGGCGGCAAACCGCCTTCCCCTCTCCCAGCCCATCTTCCTCCACAAAGGGCATGCAAGGTTGCGCCCCGAGTGCCCGAACGTACTGTCCAGCTCTGGCGTGCGCCACGCTTTGGCGCGGGAGCGCGGCGCCTCCTTCGCTTCCTCCAGGAAGCAGGCGAGCATCGCCGTCAAGGCCGACCGCTCGAAATTCTCAGGGTTGTCGATCTCCTGCGACCTGGACCGAAGCAGGTTGTGCTTCCGCTCGAGTACGAAGGCGTCCAACCAGATGCCGTCCTCCGCAGGCTGGTCGGGGACGTGCCACAAATAATGATGCTTCGGCTTGATCAGGGCTGGCCCGTGCGCGGCTTTGTGCAGCGCCAAGGAAATCGAAACGGCCTTGGTCCAGACAGCTATCAAATTCGGCACGGCGCCGATCCTCAGGACGTAGCCGAACCGCCTGCCACCTAAGCGCTCGAGGATGCGCGCGGGCCGACGCGGTGCATCCTCGAACGCGCAGGCCAGCGTTTGCGTTTCAGCTGCGGCCGCATGTCCTTTTGCCCTGCATGTACAATTCGAGCATCTTCGCCATCGCCTCGAACGACCGCGCCGCAGCGTTCGCCATGCCGCTGGGACGCAGCTCTGTGTGCACCCAATGACGAATCAAAGGGAACACGGCCAAGCAATCCGACGCCTTGCCCACGAAGTGCGACGCCTTGCAGGTCGCTTTCTTCCGAGCCACGCTGAACAGAAACGCTGGCGGTTTCCTGCCGCGTCTGCCAGTCCGCCACGCCGAGCAGCGATCCCGCCACGTTCCCCACGCGTCGGGGATGACATCCCTCACCGCCTTGAGGAGCGCAAAGATTTCGACCTGCAAGGTCCCGCCGCTGGCCAGCATGGTATGCATGGGGTCCCTCACGTATGTGCTCGGCGGCGCCACCGTCCGCAACGCCTGGCACGCCACCAGAGAACGGTCATCCAGAGTGATGCCCATTGCCGTCTCCTTCGGGGGCCGGAACATCAGAAGGGAAGGAAGGGGGGGACATCAGAAGGGGATCGATGGAAATGTTTTCCTCCCTGGCTCCAGTCTCTCGATGTTCGCTCTGGTTGTCGTGTCCCGCAGCGACGCCAAATCATCATATTGCTGCAAAAACTCGTCTGACGACAGCGGGTCAAAGCGCGACGAGTCAGCGCACCAGAGAGGCACGAGGTAATCATCGTCGTCGTAGTCTGCAAGACATTCCGCCTGATCCAGCACAACGTTCTTGCATTGCAAGCACGGTCTCAGACCTGCAGCGCCCTTGGTGCAGAATGTCTCTTTTCCAGCCGCCTCGTCTGCAATCAAGCGGTGGAACTTGGCGAAAAAGTGCACGCCGCCGATTGGCGCACCGTGCTCCGACAGACTCTCTGGGCCCAGGAACAGCGCGCGAAGCAATGCCCGCGCCACGGCCGAGCCGCCGATGCTCTTCTTCACGACGACGCGCAAGGTGCCGATCGGCAGCCACGCAACCTCCTTCTGCAAGAAGGATCCGAACTCGAGGAAACTCGCATACACCGCGAGCTGATTCCGACGATTATCTATCTTCAAGGCGTTGCCCACGCCAATGTCGTCGTAGTACAGCAAAAGCCTCCACGGCCGATCGCGCGACACAGGGAAACGGCGCATCGCTTCCCAAAACATTGAACTCCAGAGAGGGCAGTCCGACAGGAGCCTCGGCATCAGCCGATGCGGCAGCGCCACGCTCCATCGGAAAGGCGTGCCGATCTTGGGCTGCAGCCGCACTGCGCTGATGAGATCGGCCACGGATGCCGTCTGCGATCGCTGCATGGCCCGAGCGCTCACGTCTATAGCATCGCCCGCGTCGTCGCCATGGCCAAGCGCAGTCACGATTCGCTCGAGCAAAGCCGCGGACACGCCGCGCAGGGCCAGACACTGTTGCAGTCGAGCCCGCTGCTCCACCTGCTTGTCCACCTGCAGGGCGCGTTTCCCCATTGCGCCGACGCCCGCGCGCGGGAGGGGCGGGGGCGGGGGGCAGCGCGAGGCCCAGCGCGGTTGAGAAAAACGAATTGCAGCCAGAGAGACGGAAGTGGAGGCGGGAATGGATCGCGGGGCGGAGTAGCCGCCGAAGGGCATGGCGGTGTAGCCGCCTGAAGGGTCGGGAGGGGCGGCGTAGCCGCCGAAGAGCGTGGGGGCGAGGGGGCATGGGGGGAGGGGGGAGGGGGGAGGGGGGTGGGTGGGGGAGATTGCGGAGGCGCGAAGTGAGCGTAGCAACGGAACTTGCAAGGGAGATTTCTTTTTCTCGCACGCAATTTCGAGCTTGAGTTTCAAGCTCGGGTTCCAAGCCGCCAGCGCTCGGAGACGGGCGCGGCTGGCGGCTCGAGCTCGGGACGGGCGCAGCGCGGGACGGGCGCGGCGGCGGCTGGCGGCTCTTAGTGCGGGTGCGCGTGCTGCCTCCAACTCCTCATCCACCTCCTCCTCCTCTCCTCATCCTGCCTCCTCTTCCTCCTTATCCTCCTCTATCGGCCCAGCCGATCGCCGCTCAGCTCTCCTGGTGCGGCTGGCGGCAGAAGAACCGAATGCCGCCTGGGATGTCCTGCACCATCTGCTTCGACGTCTGGCACAGCATCTTGCCGCGCTCCTCGGTGCGGCGCGCCTCCTCCATCATGCGCCGCGCCTTGTCGATGAGCATCTGGCCCTTGATGCCAACGGCGCGTGCATGGCGGCAACGATTGCGCCACTCGATGAAGCGCACCACGATGGTCGCCCAGCTCCACGCACTGCCACCCGTGATGAGCTCGAAGTCATCGACGTCGTACTTGTCCGCGATGCTCGCCATGGCGGCGCAAGACCGCGAAGGGGCACGACCTCGAGCGGCTCCACTTGAGCCACAAAGACTACGGATGAGGGGTGGGACGGTGGCAGATCATGTCATTGGGAAACGCGAGAGAACGGTGCGAGCGCGGTGGGCAGCAAAGGCGGCATCTCCGCCAAATGAAGGCAAGGCGGCATGTCCGCCAAGGGCTTGCGAGAGTGGAAAGGCGGCATCCCCGCCAAACGAAGGGCTGCGGTGGTAACGAGTGGGGTGGCGATGGCAACGAAGAAATGTTTTTTTCAACAACAATAACAATTGTACGAAATCACACACCTCGTCATGAGCGGCCCAACTGCCGCCCCTGCCAAGGAGCTGCTTCGCCTCTGCTTCGTCTCCGACCGCCAATCGATGGGATTCCCAACGGTGTCGCTGGCCTTCGCGAGCCACAGCTCGCGCGGTAGGGTCTCGGGCAGGACGCGCTCGAGCAGGAGGGAGTTATGCAAGCGCTTCGCCTCGCCAAGTGAGGCATCGGAGCGCGATGAGCAGCAAAGGCGGCATCTCCGCCAAATGAAGGCAAGGCGGCATGTCCGCCAAGGGCTTGCGAGAGTGGAAAGGCGGCATCCCCGCCAAACGAAGGGCTGCGGTGGTAACGAGTGGGGTGGCGGTGGAAATGTTGTTTCACCAACAATAACAATTGTATATACGAAATCACACACCTCGTCAGGAGCGGCCCAACTGCCGCCCCTGCTCACGAGCGGCCCAGCGGCCGCGGCTTATTCGGGTCCTTCTCCACCTTTTTCAGGCCGTACTTCATGATGTACTGGGCCACCATGGGGCGCTCAGGTGCTGTGCTTCTGCGCCTCCTTGAGCATCCCCGCGATGGCCCTCGCCGCCGAGCTCGCATCCTTCTGGATGCTGATGGCCTCGTCCTGCGTGATCGTCAACGCCACGCCGCTGTGCACGCGCTTCTGCGCCACCGCCTTCATGACTGCCACAGACTTCCTCGCCGCCTT